AACTGAAAATTGTAAGCACAAAGCTTAGTAAGTCTCTCCAAACTACCACATACCATACACATAATCATGCTACTAGGAGATACAGGCCCTGCCCACACTCAAGGAGATACATGCCTCGCCTACACTCTACTAACTAGGAGATACGGTACCCACCCACACTGCGCTGGCTATGAGATACCGGCCCTACCTAAACTTGGCTAACTATGAGATACGGGCCCTACCCACACTCTACTAATTATGAGATATATGGCCCTACCCACACTCAACTACTAAGCATGCATACAAGTATCATACAAACAACAAGTATAATCAAATCTATCAATTAGTCCTATATCCATACCCAAATAATGCTATGAGATATATGCCTCGCCCACACTCGGTTATCTATGAGATACGGGCCTCGCCCACACTCAGCTACTAATCAAGACATATACGGGCCAGCCTTGGTGCCTTCGACCTATTCAAACCAGGATGAAACTCACCTTGTAAAGCTAACTGTGAAATCTTGCGGGGAGGAATCTTTAACGGCTGCTCCAACGACTCCCTGACTATCATTATAATAACACTTAGTCAAAATCCAATAATCCTTCTTAGTGTAAAATGACCATTTTACCCTTGGTCAAAGTAGACATTCTATTCAAAATCAACACTTGGTGAAAGTTAAAGTCAACACTCCGAGTTGACTCAACTTGTCGAGTCATACCCTAACTTGCCGAGTTCCCTAGCTACTCGTAGTCATGATAAAGTGAGTCAACCCGCCGAGTCCATCCATAGACTCATCGAGTTCTACCCTATTCAGAATTGGGAAAATTCAACTCAACTCGTCGAGTTCCTTTATGGACTCGATGAGTTCCTCAATCTGTTTGGGCCATCTTAACGAATTAAGCCCCTACTCTTCAGATCAAAGCTTCATACTTCTCATATACACTAAAAATTTCCTTTTAAGGGTAAATTTTCCAACTTTACCTAGTAATACCTTTACTTAATGGGTTTAGCTCAAGCCCTAACTCTTTAGGAACTAGATCTTGATCCTAAAGCCATCAATACTCTAAACCAAGGCATATAAACTAAGATCTGGACCCTAGACACTACATGAACACGCAAAGCTTCCACCTTTCCATCCATGCATGGCCTTTTAGAGCTTAAAAGGCCAAAATGACATCTGAAAACTTGCATGGGACTTAAATGGCCATAAAGTATTCACCTTTATGGCATGAAATCCCTCCATGGTTCTAGATCTGATGGTATACTCACTTGGGACATCCATATCCCAAATATTATGCTTTTTGGACCAAAAACCCAATAAAATGATAATAAAGAGATCTAAGAAGTTACTAAGAAAGTTTGAGACTTGCTTACCAGAAAATGAAGAGAAAGAAATTGAGTCTCTGGATCTATTAGCTTCTTCTTGAATCCCTAATCTTTTCCTTCCTTCACAAGCTTCAACACACATAAAGTTTCACTAAAAAATGACTCACAAGCTCACAAATGCATTAGGGTTTCTGAATCTAGGGTTTGAGACTTGGAGGCTGCAAATGAGGCCAGCATGTGGGGATTAAGATGCTTAAATAGGGTGCAAAACCTTGAAATTAGGGTTTCATTCTGGCATCCCTACTCGTCGAGTTGAGGGCTCTCAACTCGTCGAGTAGGTTACTTAAAACCCGCATCACTTCTTGTCTCTAATCGACGAGTTTGGGGCTCCTAAATCATCGAGTTGCTCAACAAAAATGAATAATTTATAATTTAAATGTGCACCAGGAACTAGGCGTTACACCACCTTTTTGCAAGTCTTCCATACCATTGCTCCTTTGTGGCATCAACGCTTGGGTCACCCAGGTCAACATGTTTTTCAAAATTTAGTTTCTCATAATCACAAGTCTAGTAAGAACCAAAAAGTATATTCATTACGTCATGCTTGTCAGTTGGGTAAACAAGTTACCATTCTCTCTATGTACTTCTATTATTGTATGTCCTTTTCAAATTATCCATTATGATTTGGACTTATCATGTGGAGAGTGTTAGTGGAATTAAATACTATATTATTTTTCTGGATGATTTTAGTCATTTCTTGTGGGTTTACCTGTTGTGTGCAAAATATGAAGTATTTTCTAAATTTTTTCTTTTTCAATCATATTTCAAAATTCAATTCAAATTTGATGTTCAATCTTTCCAACTTAACAATGGTGGAGAATATAACAACCAACAATGTCGCAACTTTTGTGACTCTAAAGGAATCCATATTCAGTTTTCTTGTCCATACACCTCTCAGCAAAATGTTAAATCTGAACAAATGCTTTGAACCACTAACAATGTCATTCGTAACTTATTATTTCAAGCCCACATTACACCCTCCAATTAGGTGGAAGCCCTTCTCATGTCTACTCATCTTTTAAATATTCTTCCCTCCACTTTCCTTTAAAATAAAACATCTTACCGAAAACTCTTTAACCAAGCTCCCAAATATTCTCATCTCAGAGATTTTGGATGCCTATGTTATCCTCATATATCTACCCCTCACAAACTGGTACCTAAAACCACTCCATGCATCTTTCTTGGATATCCTTCCAAACATCATGGTTTCTGTTGTCTAAACTTATCCACCATGCAAATCATCATCTCTCATCATGTCATCTTTGATTAATCCGTCTTCCCATTTGGTTCCATGACACCCAATCACTCTCCTTCCTACTTGTTTCTTGACTCAACCGACTCCGCAAAATTTTTTTCTTTAAATTTCTTTCAAACCCAATTCCTGAAACACCAAAATCCGATTAATGCCACATCTCCTATCGAGCACGCTAACTCCCCCTCCTCGGCAGCACCATCAATATCCTCTCCTATCTCTCCACCTCTTTCTAATGATTCTCAACCTACGCACACTCCTCCTCCTCCTATGTCTACCCACCAAATGACCAACCGTTCTAAACTTGGCATCACTAAGACCATTCAAAAACTAAACCTCCATGTTGAGTCTGAGTCTCCTATCCCTCGTAACTACTATCAAGCTTTTAAGGACCATCATTGGCTTCATGCTATGCAAGATGAATATAGTGCTCGTCACTAATAAAACATGGGTTCTTATGCCACGGCCTATGGAGGCAAATATTATAAATTGTGTTTGGTTATTCAAGAAGAAATACAATACCAATGGAACTCTTGCATTTTACAAATCTTGACTTGTTTCTAATGGTCGTAGTTAGAGACCTGGGGTAGACTGTGATGAAGCCTTCAATCCAATGGTCAAACTTGCTACTATACACACTGTTCTTAGTCTTGCTATTACAAATAAATACCGTATTCAATAATTAGATGTCAATAATATTTCTTACATGGTAATCTACAAGAAACACTGTACATGCATCAACCTCCTGCTTTTCGATACTTATGAAAACCCAATCATGTTTTCCTTGTACAACAGTCTCTCTATGGACTCAAGCAAGCTCCAAGAGCATGGTTTCACATATGTTCCTCGTTTACTTCCATAATGGATTTTATTCACTTCCAATGTGACTCATCTTTGTTTATTTATCGCCATAGATCTCACATTGCTTACCTACTTCTCTATGTAGACGCTATTGTTTTGATAGCATCTTCGGCTGAGCTGCTTTCTTAGATTATCAACATATTTAGTGTCGAGCTTTCTATGTCCACCTTAGGTGATCTTCACTACTTCCTTGGTACCTCTGCCTCTCGTGACTCATGGGGCATCTTTTTTATCTTAGCAGAAGTATGTTTCGGAAATTCTAGCAAGCTGGCCACCACCTTAGCTGATCTTCCATCCAAACTTGATAGGTCCGACCCTAAAGTCCAGGATCCTATAACTTATCGTAGCCTTTTCGGTACCCTACAATATGTCATCTTCACTCACTCGGATCTCACATACGTGGTTCAACAACTATGCTTATATATTCATGACCCACGAGAACCTCATATTGTTGCTCTAAAGAGGGTTTTACGATATGTTCGGGGCACAATAGAGTATGGTCTTCAACTCTACCCCTAATCTGAGTCTGATATCATTGCCTACTTTAATGCAGATTGGGCAAGCTGTCCGACTACCAGGCGATCTACAACGAGCTATTGTGTCTTTCTTGGTGTTAATTTATAATTGAGGTTCTCCAAACGACAAGGAACCACTTCTTGATCTAGTGTTGAAGCAATATATCGAGGCATTGCTAATGTTGTTTCTGAAACTTGCTGGCTCCGCAATTTGTTGCGCGAACTTATCACACACCTACAAAGGCGACTATAGTTTATTGTGACAATATAAGCACAATTTATCTAGCTTCAAGTCTTGTTCAACGTCAACATACAAAGCATAATGAAATCGATATACATTTTTGTTCGCAAAAAATTTGCTTTGGGTCAAGTTCGGGTCCTTCATGTTCCATCTACGACTCAATATGCATATATCTTCACTAAGAGTCTGTCGTGTCCACTGTTTTTAGACTTTCTCTCCAGCTTAAATGTTCGCTCCCCTCCAATTCTCACTACCGGGGGGGGGGGGGGGGGGGGCTATTAGTGGGTCTCGATTTATTAGACATACTGACATTACTGTTTTGTATAGCAGTGTAGATTATATTGGTCCATTGTGTGAGACGCTTTATTGTATTTTTTGTATATATAGGTTATCAATGAATGAGAAGGGTTTTACAGAAAACTTATCGAGTTTTTTTTTTTTTTTTTTTTTTTTTTTTTTTTTAAGACAGACATTGTATGGATTATATTGGCCCATTGTGTGAGGCCTTTATTGTATTTTTTTGAATATATAGTTTATAAACGAATGAGAAGGGTTTTACAGGAAAACTTATTCAATTATGAAGTTTGACAATAAATAACCATCCAAATAAATAAGATTAAACTGAATAAAAACTTAAATATAAAAATAAATATGAGAAAGTTCCATATGTTATAAAATATAAATGGTATTAGCTAGGAAGCCCAAAACAAAAGGTGGGCCCACATTGTAACTACGATATTGACCCCACTGGACCGAATCTATGTTCGTCAGTATCGTATCAAGACTTGAACCCTTCAATGGACCCCACATAACCTTCTTTATATACCCTTGCTTCTGTCCTCCTCTCCTTCAGTCCCCACCCGATATTCCTCCGACGCCGCAGACGGTGTTGCTCATGGCTGACTCGAAGAAATACTGTCCGATTCTATACAAGAATCTCTCATGGTCACCCGAAATCCAACGCAGAACAGAATGGAGGAGGTTGAAGGCCCAGCAGCGCCGCCGTTTCCGCCGCAGCAAGAGCCTTGATGCTTCTTCTGATAATTCTGACATTACTGACGATGATATCAAGGAGCTCACAGCTTGCTTCGAGTTGGGTTTTGGATTCGATACGTCTAACGACATGGATCCAAAACTAACACAAGCATTTCCTGCACTTGAGTTGTACGCCGCCGTTAATCGGCAGTTTAACAACCGGAATCTGTCGAGAACTTCGTCTACTAACTCCGATTCTTCTTCTTCTTCTTCTTCTTCTTCTTCTAACTCCAATGCATCTTCAAGTCTCATTGTGGATCCAAGTAAGAAACTCTGAATTCCGATTAATTATATGTAAAATAGTTCATCTGAGTCTTGTTTTGAAAGTTTTTTTTATCTGAATTATATTATAGGCGATGATCCGGAGAAGGTGAAGATGAGATTAAGGCGGTGGGCGCAAGTGGTTGCTTGCTCGATTCATCATGCTTCTAGACAACCTAAAACAGAAGTGGCAGAATATACATCAGAATAGTTAGTTCAGTTGTATATGACTGTTTATGTTTAGTTGTTACAGTTTATGACTTCTTAATGAAAGTGAACAGAAACTTAGGGTTTAGCGAAAGAAAAGGAATCAACATCAAATTCTGTAAATCTTAATTTAAAGTAATCATCCCAAATCTTTCTGTTATTAATGCAGTTTTTCTTGTTAATCTTGTTTTCTTTTATTTTATTATTGTTATCTTTTGAATTTGTTTTTTGATCGAATATATGAACATATATTAGCATGAAATATCCAAATCTAAGCACGCAAAGCGTTAATTTTTACTTGCACTTTTTCGCAATAGAAGGCGAAAACAATGGATTTGTTAGATATTTTGGTTCATTGAAAAGGTTAATTTAATATCAACTAAATCTTCTATAGTTTTAGCCAACAGCCTTCAAATAAAGGTTATATTATACATACATCTATCTTGCAAAACTGACATAAACTCTTCGATTAGGGTTTTTTTTTTTTTTTTTTTTAAATGATCTAATGAATCAAAGTACGTATACATACTTACATAGTTGCATACATACATGAGCATTCATACATATATGAATTATATATGCTTTAGTCGTATTTCATTTGAAGATGAGCAAAACAAGGGATAACTTAATTCTTATGTTTGTAACAACTTTAGTTAACTCTTTACACACGAAAATGTCTAGTATTTCTTCTAAAAGCGACGAAAACAATGAGGATTATTTACACCATTTGATTTAGAAAACTACAAAAGTTTTTAATGTATAGCTCAAACGTCATAAAGCTAAAATTTCGCTTTTTCTATAGATCATGTTGATTAAAAGTTTGCTCTTTCCCCATGTTTAGTTTTTCTTACACATAGGTATCTGGTAGCAATATCTTACCATACAATATTAATGAGCGTATATACACAAACAAATAAAATCTATGCATGCTTAAGTTTGAACTAATCTAGGGTTGCTTCTTCACGTAAATATCGATATTAAGGTGAGTACGGAAAAACATTGTCATTAAATGCTTTGTATATTAGAGTCGTGACCCTTAGGGCACACATCATTACCACATCAACATATCACTTTTTATTCAACAATACTCTTTAACATCCACACTCCATTAAACCCTACAAAGTTTAACAGATTTCTATATTTGGGTTGATTCAATTGAAAAAAAAAAAATTAAATCCATTGAACCACTCAATGATCATACAACTCTCTCATTCAACTCTCCTTCATGTCATCACTCATACTCCATTAAACTTATATTCAATCCTAGTTATCATCTATTCAACTCTTATTAAACCCCCATTGTGGATGCTCTTAGTTCATCTAAAAGCGGCGAACTAAATGCGCTTGTTAAATATATTATACTTACCAAAAGAGGCCTAAATGGAACTCTAGTTGGTGGTTTATGATCTCAAATCTTTGAATATACCTCCATGACGAGAGTTTATTGGTTGATACGTAAAATTCCATAAAAGATGTTAAATTTTGAAACTTAATATATATATATATATATATATATATATATATATATATATATATATATGTGGGTCAGAGGGTTTAAATTATCAATTTTTAAGTCTAAATACAGAGTTATAAAATAGCATATATGACTCTATTGTTACATATGTATATTGTCACACCCTCGGCCGAAGCGGCGGAACATATGGGGTTGTGCGACTTAGTTCATAGATCTCATGCAATTTGGATATATAACACAAGTACAGCGATAAACAAAACAACAATTGTATTCCATTTTGAAGTTTGAATACAAGGTTATATATAGATAATAATAGAGTATATAAATTGTCTTAAACATGTGATATAACAAAAGCTAGAAAACTAGGTTGCCTGAAATCCATGACTATTTTGTCATGTGAAATGTTTGTTTAGTGTTCTCTTGAGAATACATATAGTTTGAAGGGTCAACACAAGGTTAATGAGAGTTATAGGTTTCTGATAATGTTGTAACGATAAATTTAAAATGTTCAAAAAGTATTTTCTACAAGTATATGTAACATCCCAAAAATTCGAACAATTTTAAACTTCTCAAAACAATTCTTTTACTAATAAAATGTTTACAAAAATAGTGTTCTCAAAACATTATTTGAAAATGAGTGCCTCCCAAGATCAATGATGAAAAATTAGGATGTGTATGGTCCTACCTTCGCCTTGCCACGTATCTCTAAAACACCTGAAACCACAAACCAAAAACTATAAGCACAAGCTTAGTGGGTTCCCCTAAAATACCATACACAAACAGATAACATATACCAATAAATATTATGCATACAGAGCCTTCAACATGACTGGAACGCCCCCACCGACCTTCAATCCATCTAGTACGCCTATAGAGCCATTAGTCTGACTGGAACTCCCCACCGGCCTACAGTCTATCTGGTACGCTCACAGAACCTTCAGCATGACTGGTACGCCTCATTGGGTCTTCAGCCTATCTGGAATGTTCTCCGGGCCTTCGGTCTAACTGGTACACCTTACTGGCCTTCAGTCTATTTGGGATGCCCTGGGTCTATTGACCTTCAGCACAATGAAGGACCGCCTCAACTCAACTACACACAACATGTCAACATATTCATACCCAAAACACATATAAGCCCAGTAATTCATAACAAAATATTGATATAACATTTACGGGTTTGTTGACTAACAACACAAAGCAGTGCAGTCTCAACCTACCCACACTACGACAACATATACACATCTAATCATATAACTAGTCAACAAAACAATCAGATAGATCTATAGAGCACTAAGCATATCATCCTATCTACCTAGATACAGATCTAACAGATCACTAAAATACTCAATCAAACGATAATATGGATAATAATCCAAAGGGTCAGCCTTGGTGCCTTCCACTTGTAAGTATAGTGAGGAAAAATTATCTCGTACTCCTGAATTACAAAGACGATCCTGGGCTGCTGGCTGATTGATCCCCAAACTGTTAATATCAAGACAACACCCCATCATCAGCTAATCCCATGAATAATCCATGACTGCAGATCTACTAAAATCTACACGCTATCAAATACTACAAATGACATCCCATTAACGTCTAGCTACTGATTCACACTATGAGTCCAAATTAGGGTAAAAGATCTTTATACCCTTCCTCAAGCTTGGCCCAAAGCCAAAGGCCAAACTAGATGACCAAAGGCCAAAAAGATATCCAAAACCAAAATAGCACCACAAGGCCCAATAAGGCCTAAATATCCAAATTGGACCCAAAACCATCATGGAGCTATCCTGAGAAGGCCTGCTATCCAAAAGTCCCAAATCTCCAATGGTTAACCCTAGTCCACTTTTGGTCAATGGTCAAATGTCCAAAAAGTCAACCACTCAAAGAAACCCCACCTAACCGAGTACGCCTGGCATACTCAGCTGGTACACCGAACATACACCCTCAGGGGCTAGTATATGCAGCGTACTAGATGAGTATGCCCAACATACTCCTCTGAATCCCAACTTCACCAAAAAGCACTTAATCACTTAATCCCTTGCTCAAAACTCTCAGATCTGATTCCTATATATATAACTTATCACGTAAAGTTGGGAACTTTACTTACATGCATGGCTTAATAGGGTTCTAGAACTCAAAATACCTTAATGAAAGATCTTAACGCATGCATGAGTCCAAATGAACCATAAAGATCATATTTTTATGCCTTGGGACTTTTAAAATGTCTAGATCTACAAGATCAAGCCTCTGAAACAACCCAAGCTCACAAGGACCAACCAAGAGGGAGTAAAATGATCATAAACAACCAAAAGAGGATCCATCCAAAGAGATGACAAGATCAAAGCTTTTTACCTTCAATAGATTTCAAAAGATGAGAAACTTCTGGATCTACAAGCTCTTGTCCAAGAAATGAATCTTCAACTCTCTTCTTCTCTTAGACAAACCATCAAAATCCTCTTCCAAGCTCCATAACTCATTTATGACACTTCAGGATTTCAACGTATACTAAAGGGGATGGAGGCTGACTTTAAAAGACCCAAAGGGAGGTTATAATGATGTTTATATAGGGTAAGAACCCCAAAATCAGGGTTTGGCTCTAAAGGGAGTACTCCCTGACTACCCCTTAGTACGCCTGATGTACAATTGGACCACCGACGATCACTCAACCCAGTACACCCCGTGTACACATCTAGTACACCTCACATACTATATGACCCACCAAGTCTCAGAAATTTACTAGACCTTATCTCCTTCATCCTAAGTCTGTTTCCAACGAACTTTATATCCACAGAAAGGTGACGAGAATCCCTACACTTCTAACAACTCACATTAGCCTTAAAACTCCTCGGTCAAAAATCCAAAATTCATAAAGGCCCAAACTGCCAAATTATGATTATACCCTTGGGCCTTCGAAATACCATCAAACACTTAGATCACTTAAACTCTAACCCATACATCCAAAAAGGGCCAAATCCTTTCTGACCCAAGGCCCTAAACCATATGATAAATGATGATCGGGGCGCAACCCCGAATAATGAAACCATTGGAAACTGGGTGTTACAAAGTAAATCTATACTTATAAATGAGGTTCTACAAAACTTTTTAGAGATACATTTAAATCCAAAAAATTATATTATTTGCAAGTAATTCCATATTTAAAAGGTTTTGTAGAGAAGGAGAGATAAACCATAAGTAAATCCACACATAAAATGTTTTTAGAGATAGAGGGAGTGAGAGAGAGAGAGAGAGAGAGATAGAGAAACAAAATCTATGGTTTGTAGAGAGAGAAACCAAATCCATGGTTTGTAGAGAGAGAAACTAAATCCATGATTTCTAGAGAAAGAGAGAGAGAGAGAGAGAGAGAGAGAGAGAGAATTAATGTTTATAGTGAGTCCTATAACCGAGCCATGTGATGGAAGTACCCCTACAATGCTTTATCGGATGTCATAGAAATGACTGAAGAGAGTAATAACCCGCTTCGACTTGATCGTCATGGTGGTAGCTAGCAACCACAGATGAGGGTGTCAACT